CTTTTTAAAAATTCTTGCTTTTCATCTCCTGATAGGGAAAGAATTTCTTTTTAAAACAATGACTTAGTATACATTCATGTTTACCCTCGTCAGATCATTAGCTACAAGTCTGGCATAAAGCATTTAATGAATTTTAGGAATTATTCTCATTAGTGTCTTTCAGAGTCTTTAGGGAAATTTGAGGTTTTTTAATTCAAATATTTTACGAGTTTTTCATTTTTACTAATTTCCTTTCCCAAGCAGAAGCATATAACAACTCATCACAGTATTTTCATAAATATTGCCACACTTACCCTCAGAGGTTCACCAGGAAAAGCATCTTTTGTTGTACTGCTGTGCAACTAATCAGAATGGACAGCTAAAACTACTGCTCTTGATTGCATTGCTTCTGCCCATAAAATGCAAAAGGGAAGTCAGTGCTTGCTGTTCCTCCTTCTCTTGAATTTGAGATGGAACTGACTGACCGCGGGCTCACTGTCCGTCCTTGGACGTGTTCTTGTCAAGCTTCAGTCACATCTCCTCCTCACGAGCAGTCCGAGCTCACTCCATGAGTTCATCCATTTCTCCCTGCTAGGAGCTCAATCTCGCGGTGAAGTTGATTTAAAGATCTTCAGGCTGAGTCATGTTGGAAGTGGTACCTGATGGTAGTAAGTTTCGAGACTAGGGAGGAGTGTTAGACTTGTGGAATTGAGGAGAGTCCAGGAAGTGTTTTGGTGAGGGGGATAATCGGTATGATCTGCAGTAGAGCTGCAGAGGAGCTGCTGGAGCCACGGGACAGATGGACTCCCAGCTGGACAGGATTCCTGTGGTGTGGTGCGGACAGCGTCCACAGGACTGGTCCACACAGAACTGTCTGCCAAGGGTTTTCATTTATTTTATGTTCTAGTGATAAAGCCATTCTACTTGTGTGGTGGAAATTAGAAAATAGAGTTTACCTTCTGTCTGTAAGTTCTAGCGTCTACTTTTCTGCTGTGTATTCTAATCAAAAGCAAAGGGTACTTTATACTTTTTTCCATTGTGTGATTGATCTTCAACACATGTTAGAGGAGTCTCCTCTGTTGATTTGTTAAAAGCAGCATTGTAGTTCAGTTATTGAATAGCCCTGCAAAAAATTAACTCAGCCTTGCAGGTAAGTACTGCACTGGACTCTAACCTGGTAGTTTTTAACCATTTTGCCTTTATTTGAGACTGTAAATCTGTACACATAGGACACAGTTGATATGAAAACATTGTTAGTGTTATAGTTAGTTGTCAAATGTGTGATTATCTGCAGGGCTGATGTGTGTGATGTTGTCGATGGGCAGCTGTGATCCTGTGCGTAAATCCATGTTAAGGGTAATTTTAAAAGTACAGATTTTAGGGTAGGATGACAAATTATATTTTATATTCAGTTGTCCCCTCTGCTTTCATCTATACTTCTCTCTCAGTGAAGAGAGAGTTAGCCATTTGACGATTTTCAGTCAGTGGGAACTTACTTTAGTTACTCAGTGAAATTAATTTTTAATTTGTATATTTAACTTACAGAGTAGGTTGATAATAACAGCTGAACTGTGTAACACTGTTGCTTCAAATTGAAGTTTATATTATGAACATTCAGAGCCACTGCTCGTGCAGCAGCTTACTGTCGAGGTGTTTTGAGTGAGGCGTGGAGAAGCACTGAATCATGTACTCCGGATGCCATCACCCCGCCACTGCAGAGCTGTGCCTCCTGAGTGTGCGGGGTACGGCGTGGCTCCAGGCGGCTGAGTGACGGCAGTGTGGAGCAGCAGCATGGCGGGTGTCACCGAGGGGGCGGGCTCGCTGTGAACGGTAAACGCTTTTGAAATACCCCTCCCTCACTACTGTGGGTTGATGTTGTCACTCTTGAATCTACATTGCAGGGCAGCCAGATGTTTTTATTATTGGAGTAGGCAAATAGATGGCGTTGGAGCCAGTGGGTGGCTTGTGAGGCGTAGTTATAGGTACCACTTCCTGTCTTTTTAGTGGGAGGGCATTGTTTTTTTTCTCCTTTTCTTCCCTCTTTGTTTTCTTTTTCCCTTTTTCTGCCTTCCCCGTATGCTTGCCTTCTTTACTTTCATTCTCCTTTCTCCTTTCTGTAGATCTTAAGCTTCAGGCTTAAATTTGCAAATTGTATTTCTTTGGCCTACTCATTCACTTAAGGGTGAAGCTAGGCTCACTCCCAATCCTCTTGCATTTGAGGGATCATCGATGCTGTGTGGACTCTGGAAAGCCTCAAGACCCTGCACTGAACCGCTTGCCAGTGGCTGTGTAAGCAGGACGGTTTTCCCAAGCAGCCTTAGAATCTAGACAGCTACCAGGCTCTTGGAAGTTTGGTTCTACTGCTGCTACTAGGAGGCCATTATATATTTGCTAGTATTAAAATCTTCAGGATTGGAATTATTATTTGAAATTATATTTTGGTTGACTTAAGTTTTGAGAGATGATTCTAAAACTGAGCTAGAGACTCATTCAATAGCAATGACCTTTTTGAAACTTACATTAAGTGAAACTGCCAGTAGATTAAACACAAGTGTGTAAGAGCTTCCTCTATTTACTCCGTGGGACTTCAGTCATTTTTAGAGGCAACAAAATGGTCAAAACGTTTTTAAGTGTGCTCTTTTATTAAATGCTTGTGCAGGTTTTGTAATTCAGTACCGAAAAGTTTAACCTTGTAATGTACATTTTTGTATGTAAAAAAAGTCTTTTACGTAGCCTTATCCTTATTTAAATAAACTAAATAAAATTATCATGAGTAAGTCTGTCATTCATAGAAAAACAAAATGGGAAAATGCTGTGTAATGATTTGATCTTTTCTGAGTAAGCTCTTTTGCAAAGTGTTACTCTTGACTGATCCTAATAGTCCAGCCACGTCTTGGGTTCCTCTGTGAACGGGAGGGTCTGGGGGATATCACGATGCCACAGAGGCTGCAGTGTTGACTGGTCCCAGACCTTCCCAGAGTGTAAGCTAACTTCACAAAGTGGAGCAAACCAGAAGTTCGGTTGAGAGATTGGAGTGATTTTTAAAAACTGAATTTCTAAACTGGATCTTAATGCCATTGCATTTGAAGACTGAAGCTCCAAATTAACTAACTTGGAATAGACTTAGGTAACGCTCCACTTTGAATGTTAAAAAAGAAGTAAATTTTTTTTTTAATCTCTACAAAGGAAACACAAAAAGATCTTACTTGCAGTTAGAAATTGGAAATGTTTTACTAACTGAGGTGACTACCATCTCAGTTGTCTAACAAGTCGGTCACCTTTCCTAGGGTGGAATAAAAAATAAAGATGTGAATGGTTTATGTATTTGTTGAGTGTCTACTATTGTAGCTCTTGGGGGGCAAATACAAGTGATCAATGAAACAGTGAATCATTGTAATGATAGAAAATAAAGACGTGACATGATAGGGACAGTGAAGGGGGGGTGAGAAGCTACTTCAAGTGCTCATTTCGAAGGCTGTTTATTTTAAAGGGGTAATGACTCAGGGGCAGCTGTGGATAGCTGCCAGGAAGAACATCCTGCCTGTGGTCCATTTTAGTACCTGCGGAATCTGTTCATTCCTCAAAGGTGCCATCTGCTTCCCAACACCTGAGTATCCCCTGGCCTGGCCTTAAATCGTGCTTCAGCAGATGAATATTTTGGTCACTTCTGGATCCTTGCTATGAGAAATGAAAAAACCAGGGCCGGCTCTGTGGCTCAGCAGGTTGAAACCACAGCCTACAGTGCCAGCATCCCATATGGGCATCGGTTTGAACTCCAGCTCCTCCACTTGTGATCCAGCTCCCTGTTAAGGTGCCTGGGAAAGCAGTGGAGAATGGCCCAAGTGCTTGGGACCCTGAACCCATGTAGGAGAGCCAGATGAAGCTCCTGGTTCCTGGCTTCAGCCTGACCAAGCCTGGCCCAACCCTGGCCCAACCCTGGCCCTAGCGGCCATTTGGGGAGTGAACCAGCAGATGGAAGATCTCTCTGTAACTCTTTCAAATAAATATATAAATCTTAAAAAAAGAAGAAAAAGCCCAGGCTTGCCCACAGCAAATACATGTCCCAGCCAATAGCCATCTGGCCATGCCAGATGCGTGACCACTAGTCACCTGTCCCCCAGCCTCTCTGCTAGGGAACATCTGTCCAAATTGCCGATTAAGAATTGTGAGTGAATACAGCAGGGGTTGTATTAAGCCGCTGAGTATTGCGGGTAGTTTGCTACGCAACAATAGATAGGTATCAGACAAGGGCCAGTGAGAAAATCCTGAGGCTTAATTTTTTTTTTTTTTTAATGTTCATTTTATTTGAAAGAGTTCCCATCCGGTGGTTCACTCTCCAAGTGCCTGCAATAGCAGTGGATGTGCCAGGCTGAAGCCAGGAGCCAGGAACTCACTCCCAGTCTCCCTCACGGGTCGCAGGAACTGCAGTAAGCCATCATCTGCTGCTGTCCTGGGGTGGGCATTCATGGGAAGCTGTATTGGAAGCAGAGCCCGAGCTAGAACCAGGCTATCCAAGATTATTTCAGCCACTGTAAACCTAGGCGCCCAGAGTAGTATTCTGACAGCAATGATTCTATCATTCCCTTTGCAGAAACACTGAAGGCTTCCTACATGCCCTCAGTTGCTAGGATACTGAGTATAAAGATGAACAGGATGTCACTTCTGGCCCTCAAGTTGCTCGTGCCCTTGCCCAGTCCTTCACTTGATGGGGGAGAAAGCAGTTCAGTGTAGGAGATCCATCACAGTGGGACAAAGCCAGCATCTGCCAGGAAAAGTGACACCCAAATGGCCCTGCCTGTCACTGGCTTCAAATGCAGAGCAGTGCGTTCCAGGGAGCACTTGGGAAACGAGAAGAAAGAGAAGAGGCAGGAGAGACATGGATCTGCAGGCTGCCTGGAAGTAGTGACACCACTTCCGGTCCCAGCACATCAGAACTTGCAGGGCACAGAACAATCGCTGGGCCAGGCAAGAAAGTTGTCCTTACATTGAGAATCCCAACGTTTAATCATTAATCCAAAACATTCTGTCTGGAATAACTTTATTGTAAATCACATACTCTTGCTTTCGATTTTACATAACAGGAAGTTTAAAAGCTGTAGGTACCAATGCTTCATTACCTTATACAGTTCTTAAAAGTCAAGTTTGTGACATATGCGAATTGCACTTAAATATGCAGTGAAAAGAAAGATAAGCTTATAAAGACATCATTCGAGAGGAGTTTTGCAATTGGATTGGCCCTAATAACTACAGAAATTCCAAACTATCTTCCCACGTAGGGTTGCATGAGGATTCTCGCTTTTCCCTGGGACTGACTTAGTCCCGAAGATGAAAGGATTTAAACAGACAAGACTAGCACTGAGAAGCACATGAGGCAGGTGGAAGCCAGAGCACAATATTGCTGGTGGAGAAAGAAAATACATAAATGTGTGTGTGTGTGTGTGACTCAAGCAGCGACTGCGCGCTATCCCCGCGGGGCCTTCAGATGTCTTTGCCGCAGTCCGGGCACAGGATGTCGTCCCTCTCTGTGAGGAAGCCCCGCCCCACCAAGGACAGGGAGCACTTCTTGCAGTTGAAGCAGTCGTTGTGCCACTGCCGCTCCTCGAAGGAGATGTATTTTGTGCCACCAATTCCTGTTAACAAAGAACAACACCACCACTGAATGAAGGCAGGAAGGGAGGGTTCGCTGGTTAGACTGGAGCCCCACGGCTGAAGGAGTCCTCGCGGGCTCCTCTTCCAAGTCTGCACTGTGTGCTTTGGACAGAGAGCTGTGTGTAAGGCAGATACTAAGTGCAGCCTGCATGAGCCCACAGACGTTGAACAAAGACATACAGGGCCTGGCCCTGAAGTGGTGTGATACTACAAAAAGGGCCTACTGTGTGTATCTGTTCACTAGTTTATTGCAGGTTTTCCCACGTGAAACAGAACAGGGAGCAGGTTCCTCAGGCCCTCCTTGTGCCTGCTGCGTCTGCTGCCCAGAGGTTTTTTTTTTTAAAGCTTTAATAAATGAAGCGCTAAAAGGAGTGTAGAGGGGCCAGCGCTGTGGCGCTGTGGCGCTGTGGTGCAGTGGGTTAATCCTCTGCCTGTGGCACTGGCATTCCATCTAGGCTCTGGTTCGAGACCCAGCTGCTCCACTTCCGATCCAGCTCTCTGTTATGGCCTGGGAAAGCAGTAGAAGATGGCCCAAGTCCTTAGGCCCCTGCACCCATGTGGAGACCGGGAGGAAGCTCCTGGCTCCTGGCTTCAGATCGGCGCAGCTCCAGCCGTTGTGGCCAACTGGAGAGTGACCCAGCAGATGAAGACCTCTCTCTACCTCTCCTCTTTCTGTGTAACTCTGACTTTCAAATAAATAAATCTTTAAAAAAAAAAAAAAAAAAAGGGCCGGCGCCGCGGCTCACTAGGCTAATCCTCCGCCTAGTGGCGCCGGCACACCAGGTTCTAGTCCCGGTCGGGGCGCCGGATTCTGTCCCGGTTGCCCCTCTTCCAGGCCAGCTCTCTGCTGTGGCCCGGGAGTGCAGTGGAGGATGGCCCAAGTCCTTGGGCCCTGCACCCCATGGGAGACCAGGAAAAAAGCTCCTGGCTCCTGCCATCGGATCAGTGCGGTGCGCCGGCCGCAGCGCACTGGCCGTGGCGGCCATTGGAGGGTGAACCAACGGCAAAAGGAAGACCTTTCTCTCTGTCTCTCTCACTGTCCACTCTGCCTGTCAAAAAAAAAAAAAAAAAAAAAAGAGGAATGTAGAAGAGGAAAGGGTTCATCTTCTCTGGTGGGGCGGCCAGGGAAGGCCCCAGCAACTAAGTGGTGTGGGGGTGGGGAAGAAGGAGTGGGCCTTCCTCAGAGTAAAGTCCTTGACACAGCTCCAGGAGCGTGAACGCAGGCGGTGCAGTCAGATGGGGCGGGCATAAGATGAGGCTGTTAGCATACATGGAAACAGACCAGGAAAATGTGGAGGCAAGGGACAAGGCCGTCTTGTAATTGTACATAGGAAAAGTAGTATCTCATTACAACTGTTCGCTTTATATTGGATGCCTAACTCCCATCAACTGTTTTAATTACACTGGGTACAGTTGATTTATGCTGCTGTTCATCACCTGGAATAAAACAGAATCAAACGCATATGCTGATGTCAGAATGGAAGTCACTTCTGTTGAAATGGGGGTCATGAATTTCAACTTCAAAGAATTCCTTCCAGAAAGTCTTAATGAACTATACTAAAACAAAGCAAGCAGACCGACCACTCCACTTCTAAAATCTGAGGTCTCAGACTTAGATGAGGAATCTGTAATTCACCAGCTAATTTCCGTTGTAACACTTTTTATTAGAAAAATTTATTTATTTACTTAGAAGGCAGGATGATAGAGAAACAGAGAGAGAGAGAGAGAGAAAGAGGGAGATCTTCCATCCAGGGTTCACTCCCAAAATGGCTGCAATGGCAGAGGCTGGTCCAGGCTGAAGCCAGGAGCCAGGAATGCCATCCAGGCCTTCCACACGGGTGCAGGGGCCCAGGCACTTGGGCCATCTTCAGCTGCTTTCCCAGGCCATTAGCAGGAGCTGCATCAGAAGTGGAGCAGCCAGGACCTGAAATGGCTCTCGCTCTCAGATATGGGATTCTGGCATGGCATTGCCCTTCGCATTATAACTGAATTGTCTAGGCTGGTGCTGGGCATTAAACTCTGTACAGGAGGGAGAGCTTAGAGTTAATCTTCCTCCACCAATCAGTTGCAGGGTTGGGACCTGAACCCAAGACATGCAATGCCAGTTCTAATACCACACTGATGGCTACTGATGGAGCAGATATTTATATTAGTGAAGCTTTGCAGATCTCTTTTCCTAAACGCCTTATGGTTTAAAGAAAGTGACGCCAAAATAAACAGTGTTTCTAGACCACCAATTGCCCTCACGAATCTGACTCCCAAGGGCCATGAAAGACCAAGGGTTCACAGATCCTGTGCCTGGCACTGCACAGGACTCAGCTGGTGGGGTAAGCTAACTTCCCTGCATATCTGGGAAACTGAAACATTCCAACACCCAGCTCATCGCAAATAAATCATGACGCGGGCATCTGTCATGTAGGAAACCGGCTAGGTTCTGCAGCGGAGAGCCAAGCTGGAGAAGCAGAGGTGGAGGCGACACTAACTTGATCTAGGGGCAGGGCTGGCGCAGGGTTGGAAAGTGGTTGTTTCTCTTCTTGGCACATGGACCTCACCCTGAGTCAGCCTGCAGAGCCCAGGAGAAGCTGCTGGGACTCCCTGGAGTTCCTGACACCCCATGCTTCTGTCTCTCTCACCTCTCATGGCTTTGCTGCACCCTAGAGCCGGGGGCAAGGAGGAGACTAGCCGAGGGGATGCAGAGGGTGTTAGTGACAGGCGCCATGCAGGCTGGCCCAGAAGGGAAGTCCCCTGTCTCCATTCTGTGCTCTCAAATGCCAACAAATGGAGTGAGTGACAGAAATGAGAGCCCACGTCAGCCCAAAGGGGAGGAGCCTCCTATAGGAAACATGTACACAGTTGATTCCGGTTATTCGCGGTAGTTATGTTCCAGAACATTCCCACAAACACTGAATTAGCAAAAACTGAGCCATTGCTCCGAAGAGAAATACAGGCTTCAGTTCCTCCAAGCCTCTGGCCACAGTGCTCTCATCAGCCAGTCTATACAAGCTGCTACTTCCCGTGTTTCTGAAGACACCTCGCTCAGTATGCTGATTCATTACCACAGCGCTGATGGCTCACGGCGCCCTAACTCATTCTTGGGTGGGGCTTCTTCCACATGCGGCTTCTCTGGAAGTCACGTGACACTCCTGCACTCGGGGACACTGGACACAATTTGCTTGGGGATCATTTTAAAATAGAGGAATTTCCCTTCCCCCCCAAAAAAAAGTCCCCCAGAAATATGCAAAAACCATCACTACACTATTACAGTACGAGAGCTGAAACCGGCTCAGGTTTGTCGCTGTCCTGTGCGTGTTTGCAGAATGCGGAAAGCACTCTACGTAGTGATCCTGCGGTTTCAAATGCCAAATTTGCAAATTCAGACTGAATAATGAGGATTAAATATATCTATGTGTGCATGAAGCATCACTGCCCATAAAAAGCTTGAAAATATCAACTTCTAAATAATTTACAAAAATCACTAACATTCTTGTTAAAGAGGAAAGGGACCAGTAAGGCTCTGTTAGAAACGTCACTTAAGCTCTCCGTCCTGTAGAACTGTTCGGGAATCTGGCTCTCAATTCTAGCTGCAATCTGAAAGTCCTTCTATGTGGGAGACTTCAGAAGTTCACAGGAAATGCAGATTATGAAAAAACATGTATGGGTTTCGGATTTTTTTTCATCAAAAATAAACCTTTTTTCAAAGATTTATTTTTGTTTATTTGAAAGGCAGAATTATAGAGAGACAGCGAGAAACAGAGAAGGAGAGGGAGAGGGAAGAAGAGAGAGAGAGAGAAATCTTCCATGGGCTGGTTCACACGCAAATGGCCACGATAGCTGGAGCTGGGACAGACTGAAGCCAGCAGCCAGGAGCTTCTTCTGGGTCTCTCACGTGGGTGCAGGGGACCAAGCACTTGGGCCATTCTCTGCTGCATTTCCAGGCGCTTTAGCAAAGAGTTATATTGGAAGTGGAGCAGCCAGGACTCAAACCAGAGCCCATGTGGGATGCTCGTGTTGCAAGCGGCAGCTTAACCTGCTAAGCCACAGCGCCACCCCAAAAATGAACTTATATTTTTTTATACATTTATTTATTTACTTGCGAGGCAGAGTTACAGAGAGGTTGGTCTTCCATCCACTGGTTCACTCCCCATATGGCCACAATGGCCGGAGCTGGGCCCATCCAAAGCCAGAAGCTAGGAGCTTCTTCCGGGTCTCCCATGTGGATGCAGAGGCCTAAGCACTTGGGCCATCTTCCACTGCTTTTCCAAGACCATTAGTAGGGAGCCGGATCAGAAGTGGAGCAGCTGGGACTCAAACCAGCGCCCACATGGAATGCTGGCACCACAGGCAGAGGGTTAACATACTATGCCACAGTGCCAGCCCTTGAATTTATTTTTTAATTCCACTTTTCCACAAATATTTTGTTGAAGAATTCTTTGTATGTTCTTCATCATACTTAGGTTCCTCTGTATGTTCTCTGCTTTTCAGAGAATTCGAATTTTATACAAAAATTTGTATTGCTTTTTCTGATTTTGTCAGTTCTACAGTGGTAACTACATTTAACACCCATATCTGACACTTTTTGCTAATGTGCACCCTGGGGGGCAGCAGGTGATAGCTTAAGTTCTTGGGTCTCTGGCACCCTTGTGGGAAGCTGGCTTGAGTTCTGGGTTTCTGGCTTCGGCCTGGCCCAGCTCAGGCTGTTGCAGGCTTTTTAATCTAGCCAGTGTTCAGAAGATGTCTCTCTGTCTTTGTTCCTTTCTCTCTGCCTTTCAAATCAAAATGAAGATAGGTTAAAAAAATTTTTTTTTAATTTGAAGTGCTTTTATGTGGACTATGTAACTTATGGAGGTTAGTTTTATAAACATTAAGTTACTGTGAAAGCAGCACTAGAGGCTGGGGCTATGGCGTAGCTGGTAGAGCCGCCACCTGCAGTGCCAGCATCCCACATGGACAATGGTTCAAGTCCCAGCTGCTCCACTTCTGATCCAGCTCTAAGCTGTGGCCTGGGAACACAGTGGAAGATGGCCCTCGGGTCCCTGTACCAGTGTGGGAAAGCCAGAAGAAGCTCCTTGGCTCCTGGCTTTGGGCTGGCCCAACCCAGCCATTGCAGTCATCTGGGGAGTGAACCAGCGGATGGAAGATTCCCTCTCTCTCTCTCTCTCTCTCTCTCTCTCTCTCTCTGAAATTTTGCCTTTCAAATAAATAAATAAATCTTTAAATTAAAACAAACAAACAAAAAGGCAGGGTGTAGTCCCATCATGCAGGGCCTCCCAGTCAACAGATTTTGGTCTCTCGCTTAGCCAGACTGCCCTTTGCCTGCATGTAGCTATGGTCTTGTGGTAGGAAAGACTCTGTAAGTGCCAGGGGACATTTCTAAGAACCCAGGACAGCCGGTGAGCCTAAAAACGCCACTGTTACCGTGCCTGTGTGCTTGTCACAGAGTCCCACCCAAAGCAGAGCCAGGAACTTGAGACCAGCCACGTTGGGTTCAGTGATCAGGTGGGCTGGAGGGGAAGCAGCCGGCCAGCCGCCGCAGCATACGCTGTGTGCCAAGGAGCAGAAGGCAGCAGGGTGGAAAATCTGCTGCTGGCAGAACCAGGGGCACCCAGAATGTCTGGGGACATGCATGGTTGCCCGTGGAAGCGGCAGCCTGGTCCCGCCCTTGGATCGCCCCATGAAGTGTGGCCCCCGGGGTGCTCACCGCTGATGGGGTTGGTGCAGCCCGCGCACTTCTTGGCGTACAGGTCGCAGAAGCAGCTCAGGCAGTAGGCGAAGTCATCCCGCGCCGTGAAGCGTTGCCCGGACAGCTGCTTCTTGCAGGCGGTGCACACGAAGCACTCCCGGTGCCAGGGCTGCTCGCGGTAAGTGACGCCTCCCGTGGTGATGGGCTGCAGGAGGCAAGGCATGGTACAGAGTGAGGGCAGCCTCTGTCCTCAGCCAGCATCCGCCGGCTCCCCTGATGCTACCGGGCAACACCAGATCCTCACCCAGAAAGCCAGCAGGTGGTTCAAGTCACCGAGACCCTACTTTTTCACACTTCCTGGGCAGACCCCGGCGTGGCCGCCACGGATTCGAGCTCCAGTGCCACAGTCTCTGTGTTCTCCATTGGGGCAGGTGGTCCTCAGGTATCTGCCTGCAGCCCCAAGGAGGGGTGCCGGGGAAACTGAGGCACGGACGTCGGTGGGGTTGGGGATGTGAGTGGGAGAGGCGGGGAGGCAGCTCCAGGAGCGGGGAGGCAGCCCAGGGGCCGTCTCCTGGCCAGAACTTTATTGGGAGACCAGGAATGAACCCTAACCTGTTCCTTGTCAGCCCTGAGGCTGGGGCAAGCCACTGTTAGCGATCCCTCTGCCTCCATTTTCTCATCTGTGAGATGGGAGTGATAAGGTTCCAGGTGCAAATCTGTAGCGAGTGCTCGGTGTGAAGCCCAGCAGGTAGAATAACGTCTCCATCACCACTCGCAGGCTCAGTCTAAGCAGCCACTTGGGCGTGGGAGAAAGAGCTTGCAAAGCTCCGGGATTTGCACCTGCTGATGCTGCGGGAAGGGCAGGAATCGTGGAAGTCTGGGGGAAAGTGAGCCCGAAACCTGCTTGTGGTCTTGGAACAAGCGTGAGGAAAGGCTGCAAAGCCAGATGTCAGAGAACTGGCTTTCGCCTAGAATTTTCCTCTCGCTTTCCCAGAGTCATTTACAAAACGGATTAGTGATGGAGCCAGGTAAGGCATCACAAGGGGTCCAACAGAACGACGGTGACGGAAGATGGGGCAGACACCTCCCAGCAGGTGCACGGTTAGGCTCTGGAATCCCCAAACACTGAGCTAAACACCTGGCCACCCCTCTGGGCCGAGATGGGTATTGCCTGCAGTGCTATTGATCAGCAAACTGAGGCCAGGAGGAAGGTATCAGTGAATAGCTGGTTCATGACAGAGCAGGGGCTACAGCTCAGGACTCCTTCTGTCCTGCATTATTTTTAAAGATTTATTTATTTCATTTGAAAGAGTTACAGTAAGTGAGTGAGAGAGATTCCATCTTCTGGTTCATTCCCAGAGGGCCACAACAGTCAGGGCTGGGCCAGGCTGAAGCCAGGAGCCAGGAGCTTCTTCCGGGTCTCCCACCTGGGTAGTAGAGGCCCCAGAACTTGGGTCACCCTCCACTGCTTTTCCAAGACCATTAGCAGGGAGTTGGATCAGAAGTGGAGAAGCCAGGACTTGAACCTGCACCCATCTGGGATGCCGGCATTGCAGGTGGTGGTTTTACTCACTATGCCACAGCGCCAGCCCCTATCCTGCAGTGTTGACATTAAACCATAGATCACGGCTGATCTTCCTACAGATGCTTCCTCCGGGAGCAGAACTAACGCAAAACATGCTGGGTTTTCAGATCCTTACGGGGATACAGAATGCGTGTATGAGGGGACTTCAGACAGCTTGTTAGAAAACAGACTTGAAAGACAAGTTTATTTTGGTGCAACATCATTATGCAATCCAAGTCCAGTTTTCTCACCTTACTCATTTTCCACAAACTTTGTGTAGGCCCCAGCTCAGAGCTAGCACATCAAGGAGCAGAAAACTTTAAATGGTCTGCTCCCTATCCAGGGCACACCTGTCCTCTCTCTCTCTCTCTCTCTCTCTCTCTCTCTCTCTCTCTCTTTCTCTCCTCCCAACAGCAAGTCATTAACACGAGAACTGATCTGGGAATGTTCCAGAAGGCAGGGCTAGAGGATTCTGAGCACAGAGTACCACGGTGTTCTGTGCAGAACAGGGATCCAACGGCTGGAATCCATAAAAGCTCAGCAGGATTGCAAATACACAGCGGTGGGCCGGGCACAACCCCAGAACCTTCCGGCTACGCCAGCAGGACAGCCGTCCCTGCTTCCTAAATGCGAGAGCTGACAGACAGGGCCACGGAAGCTGGTGGCGCTGACCCCACGGGGTCCCGGGGGAACCCAAGATACCTTTTTGCACTGCACACACTGCAGGGCGTACTGCTTCTCGTAGCAGGGCACACAGAAGTTCTGATTGTCCTTAGGGATGAAACTCTTGGTCCCGATCGGCTGCTGGCAGCGATGGCAGCTGAAGCAGGTCTCGTGCCAGCTGCTGCCCTTGTACTCCATCTTGCGGGTACCTGCCGGCAGTCAGGAAGAAACGGCGGGGTTCTGGTTAGCTTGGCCTAGGAGGCTTAGCAGCCCACACCCTCAGCCTGCCGCGTCTCGATTTGTCTCCTAGCAAACCACTCGAGTGCCCAAAGACTTGCCTAGCAATGGGACGATTCCTATCTTGTGGAGGGCAGGGGCTTTGTCTTAGGGGTCACTGCTATACACCCAGCTTCTAGAACAACCCACACTACACACTTGGCACGTGTTTCTCCAGACTGGTGCTCAGGAACACTGCATTTCTTTTTTTAATTAAGGCTATCTCAGCATTGCCAAGTAGAAAGAGAAGTCTGGCCCAGCTCGGGCTCCTCCTTCAGCACGTGGGATCTGGAGAACAGGGACTCCAGGAGTTCTTCCTTGTCTGTGGATCTGCATCCTAAGGGTGTCAGCAGTCAATCGTGGGCCGAAAATAGTAAACGAGAAGTTGGAGAAGTGGCCAATTCATAAGTTCTAAATCACACACCACCCTGAGTCCTGGCATGGCAGCCCTCCCCAGCCTGGCCGGACGTGTCCACGCTACTATACCACCTGCCTGGCAGCCACTTAGCAGCAGATGGCCTGCATGGGGCACTGACATTACAGCGCTTGCACCAATGCTTAACTTACTGAACAACAGCCCCATAGCACAAGAGAAGTGATGCCGGCAGTTCAGGTATACCAAAGAGACATAAAAAATGCTTCCTTTAAGTGAAAAGGGGAGAGCACACTCCGACATCTGGAAAAAAGACCACACTCACAGCACTCTTACGGTAGTGTATTACTCCGTTCTGTTATCATTAACCTTTTTATGCTCCTATTGTGCTTAATTTACAAATCCAACTTTTTAAAATTTATTTATTTATTTGAAAGTCAGAGTTACAGAGAGGAGAGGCAGAGAGAGAGGGGGGTCTTCCATCCACTGGTTCACTCCCCAATTGGCCGCAATGGTCGGAGCTGCACCAATCCGAAGCCAGGAGCCAGGAGCCAGGAGCTTCTTCCGGGTCTCCCACATGGGTGCAGGGGCCCAAGGACTTGGACCATCTTCTATTGCTTTCCCAGGCCATAGCAGAGAGCTAGACTGGAAGAGGAGCAGCCGGGACTCGAACTGGTGCCCGTATGGGATGTCGGCGCCTCAGGCCAGGGTGTTAACCTGCTGTGCCACAGCGCTGGCCCCACAATCCTTTATCACAAGTATGTACAACTAGAAAACCACAGAATATCAGGTCTACTATAATCCACAGTTTCAGGATAATGGGGGAAGGCTGTGCACCCCCCTGTTGCACACCTGTTAATGAGTACCCGCTCTGGTTCCAAGGAGATGGGAACAGCTGGGGTGTGGATGCACCTGGAGCTTCCAGCCCGCTCTGGTGAGGAGCCTCAGGTGTTCAACACCCCCTGAGTGTGACTGGCTGGGTGGACCAGGTGGTGATGCACTCACATCTCACCGACTGTGCACGCTGTCCACATTGCAACGTCCCAGCAAACGGAAACACTTTTCGGCTCACTCCTGCCACCAAGTTTGATGTGCAGCAAATGCCCAGCCTCTGCTGGTTGGCTTTTTCTTCTCCTTCAATTTGCACCCAAAAATAGGTGCATATTTACTAACAAGATGACTCAAGAAAGGGAAGCATGTGGGCATCTTTCGTACAAAGCAGAAGGAGCAACGTGGACGAAGGAACAGCAGAGTGTTCCGAATACAGGGACTCAGGGGCCAGTATACCACTTAAGGCCCACAGGCCAGAGAGAGATCTTCCATTCACTGGTTCATGCCCTAAATGGCCCCAACAGCCAGGTCTGGGCCAGGCTAGAACCCACAAGGTTTTGTCAATGAGTCTGGAGCAATTACAACTCTCACTAAAGGCTCCAGGCAAAGCCAGGCGGGGCGATCGTGGTGTGTTCTGAAATAAGGCGGATGCCAGCACCAGTGCTTGGAGAACTGTCCACACGCAGGATGCACAAGGCCCAGGGAGGTAGTGCACGCACATGGCAGGCACTGCAGACCACGGGCCTGTGGTTATTACACAACAGGGCCGGCAGGTGGCAGGAGAGTTCCTTCTGTAAAGGACTGGATGCTCAGAGCAGTCACCGACAGAGGGAGGTGCCTGTCTTTCTGACTCACAGAGGCAGATGAGGAGCCAGAACCGGGGTGCAGGATTAGGGAGAGCGTCCACCTTGAGGGTGCCGTGTGCACCTGTGAGAAACCTCTGCCAGGGGGGCCTCGGCGTCCGGTCAGTAAAAGCTGGTGACCTGCAGCACTGGGCTTCCTGATGGATACTCCGTTTGCTGGCTCTCCATCGAGACACGGACCTGGGTGAAGTGTGGGGCCGGCGGGGGCCTTTGACCTGGGACGTGCCTCTTGTCCTCACTGCAGATGTGCTGGGCTCCGGAGTTTGCTTTACTGCTGTTGTTTTTGCACGGGCCAGATGTTTCTCATCACTCTGCCTGTAGTGCCCGGCCCCCTCTCTAATGCAGAGGCATCTGTAGATCAGGGAGAAGCCACCCCCTCGGAGACAGCAGGCTGCGTGAAGCCGTAGAGCACCCGACACACTGTGTGCGCCCAGTGACTGGGACGCGGTCCTGAGCATGCTGTCATTCCTACACAACATTTTCTATCCCAGAGCCTGCACCCTCCAGACTCGTGCACCCCAACTCCCTTATTCCGTATTAGAAGACAGTACTGAGTGAATTCTCAAGTGGCCGGTGCCGCCCGGTGTCTCTGTGGTGTCTGTCAATGGAAGCTTCATCTTCCCAGTAAACACCAGGGGACACGGGGCGGGGGGGTGATGCTTACTTTTAGGAGTCAACTCAAACCTGCTAGTGGCTTCCGGTCGTTGGGTCAAACACCAGTCCCCGTGTCGCTGGGAAGGTGCTTTTGAGATTTGATTAGCACTGGGGCCCACGCTGTGATGTAGCAGGGAAGCAGGTAAAGGTGTTGCCTGCAGAGCCAGCATCCCATGTGGGTGCCAGTTTGAGTCCCGGCTGCTCCACTTCCGATCCAGCTCCCTGCTAATGTGCCTGGGAAAGCAGTGGAAGATGACTCAAGTGTGTGGCCCTTGCACTCATGTAGGGGACCTGGAAGAAGCTCCTGGCTCCTGGCTTCAGATTGGCCCAGCTCCAGTCGTAGTGGCCATTTGGGGAGTGAGCCAGCGGACGGAAGACCTTTCTCTCTGTCACTCCCTCTCTTCCTCTCAGCAACTCTGCCTTTCAAATAAATAATTTTTAAAAAGATATTATTAGCACTTATAAGAGGCAGACTTGGAATAAATCAGATCCCAACACCTCCCCCTCCCCCAGAGCAGGGGAGCCTATCTAATCAGTTTGCTTAAAACCCAAGACTGAGCTTTTTCTTTTTTTTAAATTTTATTTATTTATTTATTTATTTTGACAGGCAGAGTGGACAGTGAGAGAGAGAGACAGAGAGAAAGGTCTTCCTTTGCCGTTGGTTCACCCTCCAATGGCCACCGTGGCCGGAGTGCTGCGGCCAGCGCACTGCGCTGATCCGAGGTGCACCCCAGGAGCCAGGTACTTATCCTGGTCTCCCATGGGGTGCAGGGCCCAAGCACTTGGGCCATCCTCCACTGCACTCCCGGGCCACAGCAGAGAGCTGGCCTGGAAGAGGGGCAACCGGGACAGAATCCGGCGCCCCGACCGGGACTAGAACCCAGTGTGCCGGCGCCGCAAGGTGGAGGATTAGCCTAGTGAGCCGTGGCGCCAGCCTATGACTGAGCTTTTTCTAGAGAGGAAGACTTTCCAAGATGGCAACTAAGAAACCCTGCCTGAGCTTCCAGCCTGGTTGTCCCGCACGAGTCAGGAGCTATGGCTCAGAGCCGTGACTTTGGCTCACCTGAGCCGCCAGCCTGCCAGGCAGCCTGGCAGCTCCCCCAGTCATGGGCCAGCCCCTCAAAATCAACTTCTCTCTGCTGGTCTGTCTTCACACGTGTGTGCGCGTGTGTGTGCATATATATGCAAGGCCTTCAACATCATGGAAATGTGTATTATTAAAAACCATGCTTGCATTTGGAAGGTTTTTTTTTTTTTTGCACCCAAATACACTAATCTTTTCCTTCCATCTTTTCATGAATTGCACAATGTGGCCTTGCACATCCCCTGTCTGTTCTGCCTCTCCAGGGCCCTCACACCCTGGAGACCAGCAAGGAACTCGGAGACGCAGGAAACACATCTATTTGGTACGACGTGGTTGGCGCTAAGGTTTCGTGTCTTGAACAGCCCCTGGTCTGAGACGTCAGAATTCTCTCCAAGAATCAGTGTCAGGAAAAGTCTGATACTCAGGATGATCTTCTCCCACTTTGACACAAAGGGGGATGAAGTCACTGGGGGGCCTACGACCGGGGAAGTCGGCGCCACAACCAGGGAGGGTTAGAAACTAGCATCCTAGTTAGAAACTGCCTCATCCCTCAAAGTTCAGGGCAGGAGAACTGAGGCGTGGGGGCCAGGACAGACCCTCCAGTGGGAAAAGCCAAACCAAAGCAGCTCCAGTCTCCCACGGCTCCCGCCTTCCCATCAAGGATGTAGACCAAGTTGGGGGAACAGCATTTGGGTTTACAGAGACTCACACAGAGGTGGGGGGCACAGTGCTGTGGAGGCTCTGGACCCCTCCTCTTTCCCATGGGGAGGTCAGGGCCCCAACAGCTCTGATCACTGGCTCTGGTGACAAAAACAAGGATAACCGGGCCTCCTGGCTTCGTGTCCAACACATGTGGACGGCACCAAGCTGTCTCACTGGAGTGAAGATCTCAGACAAGGTGCACCCCGTGTACCTGCCAGCAAACCCCTATGGAGGAAGCCCCACTCCCAGGTGGAGGAAAGCGTGCGTTCCCGACAGGACTTTAACCTTGCTCAGCCACTGACTGCAGTTAGGGGCAGGACACTGCCACTCTGGTTTCTTCACTGGTAAGATGAGCAGCAGGTGAACTTGAAGGTCATTTAAGCTTAAATTACGAATGCTTCCATGCATTCTTGTGAAAGGCGCTTCCAATGGGGGTGCTCCAGGCTGCACTGTGGCCAAGTGCACAAATACAGCCTCTCAGAATGGTCTCATCTGCGCAGAAGGACTCAGGCATGGCGTCTACAGATGCCAGGTCTTCAACTGCACCTCCCCACCACACACCCGCATGGTTAGGGGCCTCCGCCTGCAGCCTCCCCACCTCCCCACTCAGGAAGAACCCTAGGAGGACCTGGTCTTCCAAGTGGGGCAGTGGAGGACAGGAGGACTGGAGCGGTGCAGGGGCCAGCAGGGCTGACTCGGGAGAGGGCAGAGCGTGAGTGGAGCTAAGGAGCAAACAAGAAAAAGGGCAAGAACGTGCAAGAACGCGGACCAAGGGTGGCCAGGCTGGAGGGAGCCTGCTCCACCGTGCTGCGGGAGGCCCTGCGCCTTCTCCGCAGTGCAGGGATTGCGAACAGGGCACAGGACAGAGGAGTTAAAGAAGTTTGCTCGGAGGCTTCCTTGGCTCTAGTCAACAAGGCTAGAGGAGATTTCATTTGTTTCTCAGTGAACAGTACAGGACAGCTGTGTCTCTGCTGGGCCACAGCTCAGCCTGGTTTCCTGGGGGCTCCAGCTCTTACTCCCACTGTCCAGGGCACGCAGGCCGAGTTCCTACGGGAGTTTCCACCTTCTGAGGTCTCCACGTGGCCCCTCAGCTGTGCCCTCCCCACAGCTCCCAGCAGGGCAGTGGTTCACGCTTTTGTTAGGGCACAAGAGATCTTGGAAAAATTCATGGAAAGGACGATTATGAAAAGTTACGCATGCATGCATTTCAAAAACATTGTTGCACCCAAACAGACCTAACTTGGGCCATCTTCTACTGCTTTCCCAGACCATAGCAGAGAGCTGGATTGGAAAAGGAACAGCCGGGACACGAGCCAGCATATAGGATGCCAGTGCTGCGGGCAGAGGCTTAGCCCCTATGCCATAACACCAGGCCCAGACCTGTGTTTTAATTCCACTTTCCAAGAAGTTTTTGAAGTACCCTGTATGTCGCAATTATTTTGAAGTTGTATTAGTCGTGGCAATAAGAAACCAGGCTACCAGAGGCCTACAATTATCCCCTTGACTTTTAAAAAAATTACTTCTTGTTCAATCTATCTTCCTAAAATACTTTCCATATGCCAGCTGCTCACTGAGAACTCTTCACTGGCAAAAAAGCAAGCAATCCCTCAAATGGAGCACAGACTCCATTGCTTGGCATTTGGGTTTAAAGAGACTCACACAGAGGTCTTCCACGGGGGAGCCAGCGACTGAGTGTCAGCTTCTCCTGGGCCTTGCTTCTCTTCACACGCCAACAGGAATCCAGCGACCCGCCTTGCAAGGCGGGTACCCCCTACCGGGGCGCAGGTTCGAGTCCCGGCTAACTCTGCTCCTGATCCAGTTCCTTTTAATGCGTCCGGGAAAGCAGGAGATGGCCCAAGCAGGTGGACCTCTGCCACTCACGCAGGAGACTTTGGTGGAGCTCTGAGCTCCTGGCTTTGGCCAGGCCCAGCCTTGGCTGTCTCGGTCAATTCGGGGAGTGAAGCAGGGGATGGAGGAGCTCTCTCTTTTCCGTCTCTCCCTCTCCCTATATAACTCGGCCTTTCACATCAACAAGAGAAGAAATGAATATTCAACCTACCGAAGCTAGGAACTGAAAACCCCCAGCGTCTGGTTCTTGTTCCGCATCTCATTATCACGTTCATGGATCTTATGCATTTGAAAAATCAGTGTGGTGCTCTGAGCACTTCTCTGAGTTCAAGGGGAAGTCAAACCCGAGTGTGTGCAACAAGTGGACGCCAACGGCGGGTCACAGCAAGGCCTGGGGCTGGACCGGCTCAGCACCGCGGCCCCCCCCGCCCCCACCGCGCGCGAGACGGCCGCGTGTCCTGACCTGGCATGATGGTCCTCTTGCATTCCTGGCACTTGGACGAGTACTCGTTGGAATAGCAGTCCGTGCAGAGCAGCTGCTCCTCCTTGGCTGCGAAGGGCTTATCCACCAGCGAGCTCCTGCACTGCGAGCAGTGGAAGCAGGCCTCGTGCCAGTGCCGGTCCTTGTAGGACAAGTCCTGCGGAGCCAGACACACGAGACGGTCAGTGCCGAGGGCAGCACGGGAGTGCGCATGCGCGCAAACACGCAGGCCGGCCACCGCAGGGGAGTGCGCATGTGCGCGCATGCGTACTCAAGACACCCACAAGGCAAAGCAGCAAGGGGAAGCGAGGCTGGGATGACCGATGCCGGGCTGTTGGGCTCCTGCTGTGTGTGTAAGGACCATGAGTCAAAGGGAGGTGATTTTGAAAACGAGCTTTTCCTTAGTTCTTGCCTGTAAGAAAGAAACGCGGAAGCCGAGCACGGGCCTTGGGTGCTTCGTGCTCCACACGCAGCAGGGAGAGCTAGATCTTCGATGGAGGCAGCTCAGTGGAGACAGAGAAGCCCACGTGTGGGGCACGCTCCGAGAGGAGCCCCAAGCACAGGGCCCAGGCGAGCCGGCGAGGGGGCCCTGGGGAGGCGTCTTAGGCAGGTGCCGCCAGCAGATGCGGAGGACTTGGGGGCGGCAGGGCGGGGCCTGGGGCAGAGCTGGAGCGGCAGTGCGAGGCAGATGCTAAGGGGTAGTGGGGTGGGGGCAGTGAGGGTTCTTGTTGGGCCCGGCTGCGGGCACCGAGTAGGCAGGCCAGGTGTATCAGTCATGGCTGAAACCAGAATGCGCCCGGGAGAGAAAACCGTGCAACAGCATGACACCCTTGCCCTCGCCCGAGATCTCTTCTTTATCTGCCTGTTTAAAAAGGACATTTTGAAAGTGCCAACCCAAACCAAAATAGCAGCCTCGCTGTAGGCAGCGTGGCTTCCAGAAGAGTATGCTTCTAGTGCTGTCTGTGTATTCCCAGCTGTGACCCGGGCCCACGCTCTGTTTCTAACGAGGCACAGACAGCGTGTGGGGACGCTGCAGGTTTCTGGGCCAGGCTCCAGATCACAGGGACCCTGAGTGCCACGTGGGAGGTGCACGCAGATGGCGGCCCACCGATCTGCCTCTGTGGCTGCAACCCACGCCCCGAGTGTAGGATGCACTCCATCAGGAAGTCCCAAGACACCAGCTAACGTCGGAACCTGAAGGAGAACAAGCAGTTCTCTCTCGCTGAAATACCGCGCTGTATGTGTGTGCGTGCATGCGTGTGCACGCACCTGCTTTCCCAGAGCCCAAAACGACCCCAAGTTATTTGATTCGATGACCTCACTCTCTCTGCACATTTTAGTCCAAGGAATTATTAAAAACGTGAGTGATGGAATACTCCGAAAATAGTCACCTCCACCACCTCGCTGTAACGGCTTTGTGCTGAGCCCCGTCCTCTCTCCTGCCATCTCTGGAACATCTGGGGTCAGAACCAGAGCTAAGGCAAGAAGATGAGGCAGACGCAGGAAGGAGCGAGGAGCACAAGGCATTTCTTCCAGTGGGACCACGCAGCCTTGTTTCTGTGAGACCAGCACTCTACACATCAGTGGGGCGTCCGAGATGGAAGCTGCCTCACCACAGGGCCTGTTAGGGTGGTTTGTTGCAATGCTGGGGCCCTCGCTAGCCTTTGTGGACCCAAACTCAGGGGTCTGTGCACCAGGGCAAAGGGGGAAGGTGCATAGAACCAGTCTCATTTTGCATTTTAAAAGTGTTTTTCAGAAATATGGGGAGAGGTGCCGGCATAGTGGCACAGCAGGTTAAGCCACCACCTGCAATGCCAGCAATCCACATGGGCTCTGGTTTGAGTCCCGGCTGCTCCACTTCTGATCCAGCTCCCCGCTAATGTGCTTGGGAAAAGCAGCAGATGATGGCACTAGTACTTGGGCCCCTGCACCCATATGCGAGACCTGGAAGAAGCTCCTGGCTCCTGGCTTAGGACTGGCCCACCCTGGGCCATTGCAGCCATCTGGGGACACATGGACCATCTTCTGCTGCCTCCTCGGGTGTATCAGCAGAGATCTGCAGCCAAAGCACAGCATCTGGGACTCAGAACTGGCACTCTGATATGGGGTGCTGGCGATGGCACCCCAAGTGGCAGCTTAACCCACTGCGCTACAACTGGCTCCATGAACTTATTTTAGATAGCAAAGCCCATCATTTGCACACTGTCGACCCCTACCATTCAGGAATGGGGTGGCCTCCACACTCACCATGAAAACATCCCAACTTTGCAGAGACACCTGTGATGGTCATTATTACCACGTTGTGAGTTACAGGCACTACGAAGCTGTACATGGTGCAGAGAAGTCAGACAACCTGCCCAAGGTCACACAGCAGACAAACAGCAGGGCTAGGCTTCAAGCCCAAGTGTTCTGATTCAAAAGCTCCTTCCATGGAGCCAAACCAGAGGAAACCCTAGGAGGGTCTGTCTGTCTTTGCTTTCAAAATATGTACCCATGATGAGAGCTGCGTGAATCTACTGAAGAAAATCCAGAAACAACCGAACTCTCTCAATTTTTAATTACGTATTCTGTACTCAGGTGAATTCAATTTGGCATTGCCTTTGGCCTTTGAATAAAGGGAGTTTTAAAATCCCTGTGCACCAAGGACAGGAATCAGCCCAATCCAAGAAGGGTCTGGAGTTTGCAAGCATGCTCTCAGGGTTGAAATGCTAATTGTGGAATACATAGATTTACAAAATAAATTTGGTATAGCAAACAGTATGGCAACTCCTCAGAAGTTGCAGACAGCATTACCATGACGAATCCATTTTCCACCTTAGGGTATTTACCGTAAAGAACTGACCGCAGGGGTCTCGAAGAGGTATTTGTACATTCACGTTCACAACAGCATGACTCACAAGGGCCAAGAGGTGGCTTGCAGCCCAAGTGTCTGTCCGCTGACGGATCCATGGATAAGCAGAATGTGGAGTAGCTACACAATGGAAGGGTATTCAGACACAGGTTGCAACAAGTTCAAACTTTGAAGACATGATGGTAAGTGAAATCAGCCAGTTACAAAAGGACATATACTGCATGATCTCACTTGAGATCAGATTCCTGGAGATGGAAGGTACAATGGAGGGTGCCAGGGCCTGGGGCAGAGTAAATGGGGATGTGTTGTTTAATAGGTCCTGGGTTTCAGTTTAGCAAAATGAGAAAGTTCTAGAGGTTGGTTGCACAATGAGTGATTAAGATAGTACACTTTATGTTGGAGGCATTGTGCCAAAATTTAAGCAATAAAAAATTCAGTTTTGAGCACTGCGTGGCAAGGAGAAGACACTTTTTATTTTTTTATTTTTTTACAGGCAGAGTGGACAGTGAGAGAGAGAGAGAGAGAGAGAAAGGTCTTCCTTTGCCGTTGGTTCACCCTCCAGTGGCAGCCACGGCTGGTGCGCTGCAGCCGGCACACCGCGCTGATCCGATGGCAGGAGCCAGGTGCTTCTCCTGGTCTCCCATGGGGTGCAGGGCCCAAGCACCTGGGCCATCCTCCACTGCACTCCCTGGCCACAGCAGAGAGCTGGCCTGGAAGAGGGGCAACCAGGACAGAATCCAGCGCCCTGACTGGGACTAGAACCCGGTGTGCCGGCGCTGCAAGGCGGAGGATTAGCCTAGTGAGCCACGGCGCTGGCGGAAAAGACACTTTTTAAGAAGTTAGCTGGGTCCCCTCGTTACAAAGCCATTCACAAAGGACTGAGCTCGTGAAAAGCTGCAACACGTTTTCCACGATGGATCCATCACCGCTGGGCTGGGATGAGAAACTCAGAGGAGGGAAGAGGTAGAGCCGGGAGAAAAGTCAGAGCCTGCTCGCTGGAATTGGCCACGTGCCCAGGGAGTAGACATCACACACAGAGGTCACACGTTACACGTTAAAAGAGAAGGAAGGGAAATGCAAGTTCAAGGACATCTGCCTTTGGGGACTGACCTTCAAAAAACAGGGGCGGAAGCTCCAAGGACAACACATCATGAGCGTAAAGGCACCAGCTGTCACCGCAGTCTCCACCCTGGTTAGTGACTCCCAGGAGGAGGAACTGGTGCGTTAGTGTGACTGGACAGTCACGGAAAAGCTGCCTGAGGTATTCCACAGATCCAGGGCACTACAGAAATCCATTCCCGGGCCTGTGTTGTTTGCAGCACAGCAGACTATGCTCCTGATGCAACACAGGCCTCCTGTATCAGCACTGGCTCAAGTCCCAGGTGCTCTGCTTCTGATTCAGCTCCCTGCTAATGCACCTGGGAGAGCAGATGGCCCAAGTGCTTGAGCCCCTGCCACCCACGTCAGAGACCTGAACGGAGTTCCTGGCTCCTGGCTTTACTCTGGCCCACCCCCAGACATTGTTGCCATGTGGGAAGTGAAACTGCAGGTGCAAGATTTCTCTCTCTCTCCCTCTCTGCCTTTCACATAAATCTTTTTTTTTTCCTAAAATGGCTGGCAAGAAAACACAGTGGCAAGTGTTGAAGCTGATTTGCTGACACTGTGACACTTGAAGCCGTCCCTGTACATGTGGGTGCCGCCCACCCCATCAGACACAGGTACCAAAGCAGGACTTGCAGTCCTGGCAAAGGCTGTGACCTTTGCCCTCCTGACTGTGCCTCTCTGCAGCCCCTCCTGCACTCTGGGACTCACGGCCCCAAGGTGCTCACTGCAGCCTCCTGGGGCTCCCTGATCTACTGCTTCCCAGCGGGTGCTCCAAGCACCCAGGCCAAGGAGCTGCCTCACCATGGCTTCAAGCTGCCCTTCTTCCGGTTGGAGTAGGGGGGACCTGGGCGATGCTTTTCATTCTATCCTGTAGCAGTGAGAGAGCAGGGTTGGGACACACAGTGCTCAGGGGTGGCCAAGAAATGTAAGACAGTCTTTCCCACAAGGTGCCTCTTGCTGGGGCTGGCGCTGTGGCATGGTGGGTGAAGCCACTGCTTGTGCAAATATTTTGCACATTTAAAAATTTCAGCTGGGGTCAGCAGCGTGGCGTAGCAGGTTAAAGCCCTGGCCTGCAGTGCCGGCATCCCATGTGGGCACCGGTTCAAGTGCCCGTGGCTCCACTTCTGATCTAGCTCTCTGCTATGGCCTGGGAAAGCAGTGGAAGGTGGCCCAAGTCCTTGGGCCCCTGCACCTGCATGGGA